TACGGGATATCTAGCGGTGCTTTAAAGCTAAATTATAGACATCTACGATTTTAAGCAGACAGTGCTCAAACCTTCTGATTCGGCGGTCCATTCTTCAGAAGGAAATTTTGCTGTGGAAGAGTGAGTAAAATCCCTTTTTTCTATCTTTCCCCTTCAACCTCACCCCATCTCCCAAAAAAAGCAGCCAAAATTTACTGTTCAGGAGCGGAAAAACTCAGTTTGCCAAGAACTTATTATCTTCATTTTTGTCAGTTTTACGGATGAAATCCAGGCATGCCTGTTCATATTTTTCCGGATACAATCGATAATGCTCACAGTGAAGTGTATCTTCGAAAAATAACTTTGATGTCGACGCATTTCGTTCCTCTTTCTGAAGTGCCATGAATTCTTCAATACTTTCGGCTGAACAGATTGCATCTTGGGCGCTGTAGATGTAGAGCTGATTTTTTGGCAAATCTTTCATGGCCATCATCCGGAAATACGCATAATTTCGCTCATAAACATTTTTGTCCCACTGTGAACGAAGCCAAATCATCGAACGATGCAACGAGAAATAGCCGGCCAGCAGGATGCGATAGGTTTCACGCCATGCCATGCTGTACGAAGATGGTGGAAGTAGGGCGAACGAGATGGCTTCTGCGGCTTGCCATGGTGTTACGTATGCCGGAGAACTGAAATTACTGCTCATTTTGGGGTTCTAAGAGGTTTTGCTTTTGCTAAGCAGCAGTGGGATTCAGAGTTGCCCAAATTGTCCATTCCCAGCCTTGCCAGATATTCAAAATTTCAAAAAATCTTTCAAAAATGCCAACAAAAGCCGAAAAAAAATGCATTTTTTGCACAGTTTTGCCCAATAGACACTGATGCAACAGTGAAGAAGTGAAGCTGCACAATTTTACATATTGTAAGTGATAGCCAAAATCGCATACCACCAGGCAGGCAGGATGCGAAATCGGTTCTGGTCATGCACAAAACTGGTGCCAAATATAGCAAATTTTAATCT